AATACACTGATTTCTTTAATACATCTGAAATCAGAAGACAACACAGAACCAATTTTGCATACATGTCTGTAAATTCAGCATTTTGTAAACAGAATTCAACAGCCAAATATTTATTTCACATACAATTGATATCCTACAAAACAGAAGATGATGGAGGAACATTATCTATGCTATCATCTTACTGAATGATTCAAACATCTCACAGGTTAGAAATGTTCATTTTTTTCTCAGATGAAATTGGAAAATGTATTGTTGTTCAGTGAGGAAAGAGCAAATAAGAAATGGTGATTTTAAAAAGGCACAGTTTGGATAACCTTGCCTTAACAGACTATGGCGGTGTTGGGGTGGGGTGAGGGAGAAGTATTACAATATGAAAAAGATACGCCCAAATATGTTCTTCATGGATACCTTTAAGAAAAAGTTATAGAAGCATAGCTTTTGTTGCCCAGCTTGCAAACATTGAAACAAACCCCTTCTGAGTTGCCCATTCTTGCTTATTTGAAGCCTAAACTTTTGTAGTTGCCAAGACATTTTTATAAATTACAGGAAATCATGACTGGTGAATAAAATGTGTACTAGATAGGTTATGAAGTATCTTCCTATGTTGGAAAGTCACACAGGTTTCTCAAATCCTCTGTTTCATTCACTAAGTAGAGAACTGTTTTGGAATTTCTAGTTGCCTCTCTACCAGGCACCCAGCATTTCCTTTTCCTTCAATCATTGTAAAACAGCCTCTGCAATGCTTAATGGGAAAGAATCCCACAAATATCAATAAATGCACAGACTTTCCTAAAAGTGTGAATGCAGAAATTAGCCACAATAAAAAAAAAATGAAGTTATGGACTTTATTTTTTCTTTTAAAAAAAAAAGATAGACCCTCCAATAAGCATATGTGAAACATGAAAGATAGGTCTAAAATGAAAATAGGTCTAGAATGTGAGAAAACAGCCGTTGACCGACCATATTGGGCTGAGGAGCCAGTTAAGACCTTTGGTAATGCGTATGCCTCTCTCTTTAGGGATTCAGCTCACAAATTTTGGATTATAAATAACCCTCTCACATACTGCTCACTTTCCATTTCTCTCATTATCCAATTACAATAAAAAGGATCCAAGGGATGTGTTTCCAAATTGTGTGGTAATGCCTTCATTTCATTCTGATTGAAAAAGACAGTCAATAACCATCACTGCCAAACTAGCTGGGTTCTGCAAGCATCTTTCCTTAGCAAGATCAGTGGGAGGCTTGGAAGAGGACAAGGAAAAGAAAAGGGGTCAGCAGCTAATAACAATGAAATGGCTAATCTTGGTTCACCAAACTCTAATCCAGTGCGTATTATATGGTACAGCAATAGGTAGTGGTTTTAAAAGTTTCATCCCGAGACTCAAGAACCCTTCCTGGAACTAAAGTGCCACTTGGACAGGATTTAGGGATAGGCACCTGCTGACCTCTGCAAAAGAAAATTAACAGGAGGTCTCCAAAAGACAGCTGGCCTGACAGTTTATATAGGTAGTAAACTACCTATATCTAAAGCATTGAGGGGTGGTTATAAGAATAATTTCAGATTCGAACATTGTCTAATTCTATTCCTAGAATTCCTATTGTATATCCTAATAGCAGATGTTTAGGCACTGCATTTTATCACCTACGTGTATTAAGATATTTGCTTTGATTTCTACATCACACATTCTAGAGCAGTGTATTTAAAAAAAACAGTTTCTAACAAATGAATGTCTTGAAGTGGGGAGGTATAGAGAAAAGGGAAAGTTCTATCACTTTTCCTTGGCTTCTGGATTCCGAAAATAGACTCTGGAATGATCCTAAGGTCAGGACCTCCAGTTTGGCTGCTTCTATCAATTTGGCCACTTCTCAGTTTCAATTAATTCATTAATTAATCTTATCGCTGTTTAACAGAAAGGACTTTCTTTGGTAGGCATTGAATTTAAGGACCTGCCTAACTATCAGAGTTAAGTTTCCTGCCCGCTATCAGTTCATATTTATATTAAAAAAAACCACATAGATACACACCACAGTTGGTTACAAATTAACTTCTATTAATGTGATACGTTCTAAATATAATTTACATTTAATCTACATTCAGATTTTAGCGTCCAATATATCATATACCAAAGGAAATTTGTGCTCTAACGGAACTGGGCAAATATGTTTTATAGATCAACTTGTTGCACGGGTTTTATCTGATTTAGCCACATTCGGCTGAATCAACTTTGTTTGAAATATATATTGAAATCAGAATGAGATTAGAGTTAGCTCAGAATGGCTTAACAACAATTATTGTTAATTATACAGATGTGTAATTAATGCAGCTATTACTTGCTCGCGTTATAACTGCTCTAGCGATGCCCTAGTATTTGATACAAACTAGATATAAGCAAACTGCAGCTAAGCCTTCAGATTCCAACTCATTTCCCCAAAGAGCGTTTTAAAGGCATGGGTAGGTTGGAGAAGAGATGTGAACGGCCAGAAGGAAAATTAAAATGAGCTGCCTTCCCACCCCCGGCCCCCCTCCCCCGATGAAGCCATATTTCTCCGCCAAAGCAAAAGGATTCTTTGCATAACAACTGAAGAAAGCCTAATTGGATTAAGTCCTCTGAAAAGGAGGCGAAAG